TATATATATATATATATATATATATATATATATATATATATATATATATATATATATATATATATACAGAGTACTAGTAGAAGTGAATATGTAGTATATATTTATTGGTAAATATACTCATTGATGGTATACATACTTTGATGAAATTTATACAAATGTATATTTATCAATGAATATACACTATAAAATTAGTTCCTTGGTTCTCAAATTATTTTTGGTTCTCACAAGAACCCTCCTAACTAACCCGTTTTTAAGGACTCATATTGGGGTGCAGAAGGTTTATTTGGAATCTTACAAGATTGAAACGTTGTGTTGTTTGGATGGTGGTCTAAACCCTAGTTTCTCTTTTTTTTCCTGAAGTAAATAAAGCAAATGAACTCAACACACCATCCTCACCAAGGTTTGAACCCCTAACCTCCTAAAAGGTTGGCTCTACCGATAACCCGGATACCGCTAAGCCAAAAGGCCGTTTGGTTAGTTTCTCATTTTTAGCTAAACCAAAGGCCGTTTGGTTAGTTTCTCATTTTTAATGTTGTATATACTGCGGATAAACAACTTATTGGTGTGCCAGGAATGAGAAACATAAATGTATTTATGGTGTGGTCCACATTCTTACTTGATCTTTTGCAATTAGGACCTACAGAAGTCCGATTTTATTCCTTTGTTTTGCTGAGCAGTGTTGCAGTATTCTTTGCTTGGGCTCGGCAGCTTGTTGGTAATGGGGAGGCCGACATCAACCCAACAATGGTGGCTTGCATTGCAGGATCTGCCTTGTTGAGGAAGGCAGCATCACTTGCTTTCGAGGATAAGAAGAGATCAACCCTCACCACCGATATAATAGAACACCTAGGAAGAAGGTAACAACATACATTTCTATGTAGGGGGAATGCATCACAATGCAATGAGGTTTGCCTTGGTTGTTATTTAGTGTAACAAAGAATTTTTTGATTTCTCTTGGGAAATACTCACGCACCCTCCTCGCTTTCAGTGGGTTTGAACCCTTGATCTATTGTAAGGATGGGGCTCTACCAGTACCACTGTGGCAATGACCCTTTTGTATACTTTTGACTGGTGACCTACTGATGTTGTAATGCCTGATTACGTGGATTCCAAGTCTATCGTCCTTTTTTCCGTAACCCTTCATAGACATTCCATAAATCTTTCGCAAATGAGTATCCATGCCATCAAATGTTATAATGATCAGTAGGTTACTGTTCAAAATGGGTATAAAATAGAAAACCTGAAATTGTTACCTTGATTGAGGAAAAAGTCATTCGCTACACTAAATAGGAACTTAACCAAACTTTATTGCATGTTGATGCATTTTCCATTTTTTTGTAGAAATAGTCTAATTGCATCATTTGGTCTGTTGTGCAGTTTGGAGGACATATCTCCGGTTCGCTAAGCTCCGTATATGCTTCACAAGTCTCATGTTTCCCGTCGTCGTTTTTTGTTCGCAAGAGTGAACAATGTTTACATCCCGAGTTCGAAGAATACTTTATTGTTTTCTCAGTAGATCATCTTGTTCTTTAGATTGGAATAAATGCACCAGTTCAGAAGTATGTTCGTTTTTTGCTTTCTTTTGGAATGGCAAGAACCGGAAAATCCGTTTTGCAAAAAATTAAGGTGTCGTTTGGTTTGAAGGAATGGAATGGGTTTGGATTTCAAATCCATTCCAATCCCATGTTTGATTTGTTGGATTGTCCGTATTTGAAATCCTAGGATTTAATTAACATCCTACAAACATAGAATTTTGAAATCCTTAGAGGGTGCTCGGGATTTCAAAGAATTTCGTAGGATTGTATGAAATAAGGTTTTAAAAGATGTTAATAAAATTTGTTTTGTAATAATTGATTAACAAAAATGTAGTTTAATTATTTTTATAATTTTTTTTACAAATAATGGAATCTAATTCCATTCCAAATTCTACAAACCAAACACATCAATGATTTCAAATCTATTCCATACCAAATCTCTTCATGAAATTCAAATCCCTTAAAACCAATCCTGCAAGCCAAATATACTCAAAGGGTTCATTTGGTTTGCAAGATTGTTTTTTAGGGATTTGGATTGAAATGAATTTGAAATCATTGGTTTGTAGGATTTGGAATGAAATTGAATTTCATTATTTTGTAAGTAACCTACAAAAAAAATTATAAATAATTACAAAAATAATTGAATTACATTTTTATTAATCGATTATTACAAAACAGATGTTTTCAATATTTTCTAAAACTTTATTGCATACAATCTACATAATCCTGAGCACTCCCTATGTTTGAAGAATTTCCATTAAATCTAAGATTTCAAATTGGGACAGTCCAACAAACCAAACATGAGATTGGAACAGATTTGAAATGCAAATTCCTCTAAATGCATTTCATTCTTTCAAACCAAACAGAACCTTAGGGTCGTTTGGGTTTAAGGAATGTTATTGAAAGGTATGGATTTTATGGAAGGATTTGAGAAATTGGAAGGGAATTGTAGTCATTGTTGTGTTTGATTTGTAGGATTTGCAATGGTTTGTAGCATCCAATACCAGAATTAATGGTTTCAGTATATCCCATAATTAATGCACTTTGTTAATCTGTCACAACCTAAAATACTTTGATCAAATCGCAACTACAGGCATAATGCAAAAGGTTGAAGAAGCTAAAAATTTCTCAACATTTATGCTACAAAAGCTCATACTTATATCTTGTTTAATTACAAGTACTGATGGTGAGAGGATTGGGTTCCGATAAGAAGGGAAATTATGGTGAGAAGAGATCTCCACCTTGGATCAATCATAATTGAATGTCAACATTAATGAGGTGCATCGAGATGCACCAAATCAATTCCCTTCTAAAGCGCAATTCATTGGTGGGCATGAGATTAAAAATGATCAAAAGTTCAAATCTCTTCTTATGTTTCTTACCATTACTTCCATTCTCACACGATCCTTTGCGGATGATGAGATGCATAAGACTCTTACTTATATCTTGTTTAATTGTGAAGAAGTTCACCCTTTTAGTTAAAAGTTTGATGGTTGCATCAGTCAAGCATTCAATGCTTGTTAATTTTGTGTTTTATTTCTCGTAAGAATTGAAATTAATAATAAAATTTATCATTAATCTTTAAATTTACTGTATTCACTCCCTCTATGATTTATGTGCGTGCATTGTTAGACATGCAGATCAGTAATGTCCTTACGAACATATTTGACAATGGCTCTATATTCAAACTAACAAGAGACGACTTCTGTTTTTGGAAACCAACTTCCTCCATAGTATTCATGTGTATCCCAACACTTGTATTTTTTCATCAAGGGGGGTTCAGTTTCGGTGATAATCAAAGTTATGGTGGCGAGAAGGGTAAGAAGATACACCAAACCAATTCTCTTCCAAAGTACAATTCATGGGTTGGTTTGAGATTAGAACTAATCAATGGTTCAAATCCCTCTTACCTTTGTCACCTTAACTCCTCTTTCAGGATGAAAATGGTAAAATTTATAATCCATAGTCATACAATAACATCATTTTGAATGCATTCAATTCAATTATTAGCTACTTCATCCTCCCAAAATTAAGGATGTCAATGGACAAGTATGCCAACTACCCATGGCCACCAACAAGACTTGATCTATTTGTCACATCAGATTTCCACTAAGCAAAAACCATCTTCTAGTACTTACTTCCATGGTCAAGTCTTTCAAAAGTTTTGTTGTTTTTTTTTAATTCATTTTTAATACAGATACATAAATCTTCAAACACTTGACATCTCCCAAGTTTTTGGATGACAAATCATTATTCAAGTTATTGCTTTAATGATTAACCTTCTCATCAAATGGTTCTCAACCTTTTGATCAAGTCTTTATTTTTATCATTGGAGATGCTCTTAAATCAAGTATCAACTGATGATGCATCCCGTAATATTGTGTTGGATACTTATTATATTTATGAATCACCAATTTCTATCAAAAGGTCCACAAATTACCCAAAAAAATTGACTATGCGTGATAAAAGCCCTAGCCTCACTCAATCAACTCTTCTTGTAACATGATGCAAGCTAAGTGTATCAACCCGACTAACCCAAACCTCACATGGTTTGATTTGGGTTGGATTATGCTTTTAAACACCTTGAATAAGTTAAGATATTCTAAACTGCAAGTGGTTATTGGGTTGTGTTGTTCAAACGTCTTCAAACCAGCTGATCCAGACTTGTACATCCCCAAGTTTTATGATTTTGAGAACTTCCTTTTAAAAAGATTAAGAAGAGCTTTATGTGCTCAAGCTAAGGACTCCTTTGAATACCAAGTTATATTAATTTTTCGATTTGAGTTAAACATTAGTCTTTCTGTTTGAGTGGGTTTTAAATTTCTCTGTCTTTAACAAGGGGAATTGCTATTTGCACCTCTTTAATGTCAGTATCAGGTTGATCATGCACTATGCATTGAAAATGTAAAAAGGAAGTTGTTATGTTGACATGTATGAGTAGGAAATCTTTAAATATAAGGTACATTTAGGAATGAGAGAGGTACATTATTAAAATATAGTCAACTTAGTTCTAATTCATATTTTTTGAAATGACGAATGGGAACATTTATTTTTGGTAACTATAACTCTAAACTTCTCATTTAAGGTTTATGAATATCAAATTCATGTACCCAAAACATTGTGTCAACGACCAGGGGACAACAGAAGTTTTGAAATGAATTCAAATTCCATGTAGATTTGGCAAAGGTAAATTGTTTTGAAATTTTGTATTGGGTACGTTTGTGTTGGTGCTGGATGGATAATGGTTAACATGAAAAATGTTTGTAGAAGGGGATTGAATACAACACAACAAATTTTCAGTTTTTAATTCTGTATGTTTCATAAAAATAAAGAATCACAGATTTTTTGCTAAAACTAGAAAGGTAGGACCTTATGTTAAACAATATGACTTGTGACAAATTTACTCACATGGAGATGTTAAATGAGTAGGATAAAGTACTCTTTCAGTTACGAAGAAGGAGATAGTCTTCAGATGTTGACGTTGATTTGCTTAATAAACTATCACTTAGAATATATGTCAAATCGATGATTTGTAACATCGTCAAATATAGCCACCAATGCATTAATGTTGTGTGCCAACTTTAACATGTGTCTTCATCTAATTTCTTGATCAGTGCATGTATGCACTCTTCATTTTCATCCTTTGGATATCTTAAAGATATGATGTAAACATTTGTTTATCCAACCCATCCTTTTGTGTTGGTCCCGGTTGGATCTACAAGAGTTTATAGATAATAGTTTGTAGAAAAGGGGGGGGGGGGAGGATGAATACAGACACATAAACTTTCACTTTTAAAAATTATATATTGATAAAAAAAAGATCAAAACAAATTTTATAGATTGTTTACGGAAAAAATAAGGTAAAGAAACCTATCTAAACAATATAGAGATACACACAATTACCCTTAGCAAAGAGAAAAGATTTGCTGTAAGAAATAAAGACTTGGAAATGTGTTCTTCACTTGTTCAAAGTGGTTCTTTCTCTTTAGAGAGAGAGAGTAGTGAGAGAAGTAACTTCTTGGGTAAATTTCTTAGAGATGAAGAAATTAATAGATAGATAGATGATAACTGAGTAGAGAATACTCAACTCTTTATACCCATTGCATTAAATGCAATTCAGAAGGTACACAACACGTGTCAAGCTTTTTGGAGGAAAATTTGTTCTTTGCTACAGTGAACAGTCCATGTTAGCATCAAATTGATGCTAATAATTATCTTAAAATGTTTTATTAAGCAATCTGGGCTAAGGGTGGATCATCTGAAGATGCTTCTGTGCCAAAACGTCTAAGTCTGGAAGAAGACTAGCTGCTGCGCTAAATCAACCAAGTATGGACGACCAGAGCCTCTGCAACCAGAGCCAGAGCCTCTGTGAAGTGGACCAGAGCCTCTGTGAAGTGAGCCAGAGCCTCTGTGAACGACAGAGACACCAGAGCCTCTGGTTGTATTGAACCAGAGCCTCTGGAGGACGAGCCTCTGGAGGAACAGAGCCTCTGGAGTAACAGAGCTTCTGTGGTCGTCTATCCTCTGGTTTATCCTCTGGTCCTTCAAGACGACTATCTTCAAAATCCTATTCTGGATAAGGCTAATCCTATTTTGGATAAGGCTAATCTTATTCAGATTCATGGTTTATTGCCTATATATAGTAATGTTTCAGGTAAAGAAAATTGAATGAGAGAAAATAGAAAATTCATTGTAAACACATAGATTCAAATACATCTAATGAGAGTCGATTAGGGTTCTTGAGAGTTTGTAATTTCCATTCAATAAAGAAAGCGCCGACGATTTCTATTTCATCTTCTTCCTCTACAAATCTCTCTTGAATTTCTTTATGAATTTTGTTCTACTGTCAGATCTGGGTTTTAACAGTCCATTTGGCTATTCATAAGCAGACATCTTTTCATAGAGTTGGTGAGCAATATAGAGTCAACTAAGTGGCCCCGTACAGTAATATACTCTGGAAAAAGGTATGAGTTTCTTCTTAGTGTGTGGAAGGACATGACAAAAACAAACGTGCATGAAAAGTTTCATTTGATCGCTGAATGCTGGGATGACGATGGGGTCTCTTCAGCCTTCACTGAA